ACATGACTGAAGCCTAAAACTTTCAGAACTGATAGTCAGTCACCAGTTTAACTACATCATGTAAAAATCGTACGTTGTCGTCACTTCCGGTCGTGACAGGAAGCGATGAAAAAAGTGAATTTTTAGAGTTTTTTTTCTTTTTACTTTTCTTTTTACAGAAATGTTTGGCTAATGCAGATGTTAGATAGACCATGACCATGCAAATCATTTTCATCGGAAGTGCCAACCAGTAAAACAGAAGTTGTCTCAAACATGAGTAGTTTTTCATGGAAACTTTTAGGGATGATCAGTTGTGAATAATTTAGGTGTAGAATGAACATTTTATTCGTTTGGACACTTTCGTTCATGACGAAGTACATAAAGAAAACATGTACAGAAAAGTAATTCCGTTTGTTTTTATCTGTATTTACATATCTTTGGAAGCCTTGAGATAACTTTTGTGAATTATTTAGAGTAATCTTATTGAGATGATTGTGTTTTTTTTTCTCAAAAAAGTCAAGAAAACGGAAGACCTGTTATTGCCTAGGCAATAAGTATCTAGTTATTATTTTTTTTTTTCCCGTTTTTTGTCCAAGCGATTTCTCAGAGATGACTCGATGGATTTTCTTGAAACTTTCAGGGATTATGACAAATAAAATAAACTAAAAACATTTTTAAGGATTTTGCAAAATTCACTTCCGGTCGTCAGATATGTCCAATTTCCGTTTTTTAAAAAGAAATCATGTCCGGACGATATCTCAGAAACGGTAAAAGATTAAGACCTCAAACTTTCAGGGATTATAGATCATGACAAGTACGTTTGCAGAATATGTGTAATTCCGTCAGCCGTCACTTCCGGTCGTCACAGGAGGAGATCAAAGAAATCGAAAATTTCAACTATTCTTATTTTAGTTTAATCTTGCATTGCATTATTGCATCTGTTTTACAGTTTCGAAATATGTTAGTCCCACCGGAAACAGAAACGTCAATTTCCGGTTATAAGAGAAAAACTACATAATTTGAGTATTTTACTTTCCCATAAATGTCGCTTATAGATGAAGTATTTGAAATGATTTTTAGATATGTTATTTAGACTGCTAATGTCTAGAGTAACGACAAATATCTTGGTAAAATTCACTTCCGGTCGCATGTTTTACTGTCCGCAAAATAAGAACTTGTCAAAGTGAGATCTCAGAAACGGTAAGAGATTAAGACACCAAACTTAAATGAGTAATAGAACTTAATGAGTAGGCAAAACTCTTTGGGTTAATAGCGTCAGCCGTCACTTCCGGTCGTTACAGGAAGTGATCAAAGAAATCGGAAATTTAAACTTTTCACTTTTGAAATAAAACTTGCATCAAATAATTGAATCTCTTTCACAGTTTCTATATGTGTTGGTCTCACTGGAAACAGAAAAACGACAACTTCCGGTTATAAGAGAAAACTATGTAATTGGGATTTTTAACTTTCCCAAAAGTATCGCTGATAGATAAAGTTTTTTGAAATGATTTTTATATATGTTATTGAGATTGCAATTGTCTAGTGTGGCTTTAACCATCTTAGGAAAATGCACTTCCGGTCGCGTGTTTTTCTGTCCTCAAATTGAGATTTTGTTCACCTAATTGCTCAGAAACAGTACATTGCTGAAGTCTAAAACTTTCAGAACTGATAGTCAGTCCTCAGTTTATCTACATCATGTAAAAATCGTACGTTGCCGTCACTTCCGGTCGTGACAGGAAGCGATGCAAAAAAGTGAATTGTTACGGTTTTTTTTCTTTTTACAGAAATGTTTGGCTAATGCAGATGTTAGATACACCATAACCATGCAATTTATTATCACCGGAAGTGCAAACCGAAAAACCGGAAGTTGTCTCAAACATGAGTAGTTTTTCATGGAAACTTTTAGAGAGGATCAGTTGTGAATAATTAAGGTGTAGAATGAACATTTTATTCGTTTGGAGCACTTTCGTTCATGACGAAGTACATAAAGAAAACAGGAAAGTAATTCCGTTTGTTTTTTTTATTTGTATTTACATATCTTTGGAAGCCTTGAGATAACTTTTGTTAATTATTTAGAGTAATCTTATTGGCAAGATTGTGTTTTTTTTTCCCGAAGAAGTCGAGAAAACGGAAGACCTGTTATTGCCTAGGCAATAAGTATCTAGTTATTATTATTATTTTTTTTTTTTTGACCAAATTTTGTGCAGGCGTTTTCTCGAAAACTATTCAGTGGTTTTTCGTGAAACTTTCAGGAAAAATTAGTCATTGTATGAACTTGTTTCATCACAAGGAAAATTTGGAAAATTCCATTTTGGTTCCAAGTTACGGGCAATATCCTGATTTTAAAATGAAATTTTGTCCGCGAATGTTCTCAAGAATGACTAAAGATATGAACTGGAGACTTATTGGAGAGCATAGAACGTGACTTCTAAATTTGTGGAATCACATTTTCGTTCGTCGTCGGCACTTCCGGTCGTTTACGGAAGTGATCAAAGAAATCATAAAATTTCAACTTTCTTTTTTTGAATCAATACTTACATCACATTGTTGCATCTCTTTTGTAGTTTTGAAATATGTTGGTCCCACCGGAAACAAAAACGTTAACTCCCGGTTATAAGAGAAAAACTACATAATTTTAGTATCTTTCTTTCCCATTAATATCCTTTGTAGATAAAGTTTTTGAAATGAATTTTAAATATGTTATTCAAACTGCAGATATCTAGAGAAACATCAAATATCTTTGTAAAATTCACTTCCGGTCGCGTGTTTTCCTGTCCTCAAAATGAGAAGTTGTCTGAGCAAGATGTCGGAAACGGTGAAATATTAAGACACCGGACTTATATGAGCAACAGACCTTAAGATGTTACCAAAACTACTTGGGTTCAGAACGTCAGTCGTCACTTCTGGTCGTCACAGGAAGTGATCAAAGAAATCAAAAAATTTAACTTTTTTTTTTAAATTAAAGTTTGTATCACTTTATTGCATCTCTTTTGCTGTTTTGAAATATGTTAGATTCCGGCGGAAACAAAAACGTCAGCTTCCGGTTTTAGGTGATAAACTACGTTATTTCGATATTTAACTTTCTCATAAATATTGCTTATCGATAAAGTACTTGAAATGTTTTTATGCATTTTGTAGATACTGCAAATGTCTAGAGAAACGTCAGAGATTTTTTTTATAAAATTCACTTCCGGTCGCGTGTTTACCTGTCCTCAAAATCAGAATTTGTTCTCACAATATTACTCGGCAACAGTAAACGACTGAAGTCTAAAACTTTCAGGACTGATAGTCAGTCATCAGTTTATTTCAATCGCGAGGAAATCTTGTATTGCCGTTACTTCCGGTCGTGACAGGAAGTGATGCAAATAAGTGAATGGTTAACGGTAAACCCGTTGGATTTTCACGTTGATAACCAGGGTTAAATCTCCAGAGTGTCTGAATTTCTTTTATCACTTTTCAGCTTGAATTTTAGTTTTTATTTTCAAAATCGGACGGAAGACCTCTCATTGCTCGCAATGAGTTTCTAGTTATTATTATTATTATTATTATTTTTCTTCCTGGGTACTTTTTTGTCCGTGAGTGATGTCCGAAACTATACATCCGATTGAGTTGAAACCTTTTTAGGGTTAATAGGAATGTTATGTAGATTTGCGGAACGAAGGTCATTTTGCGCGCACGTGCATGCACGTGCGTGCGCGTGCAATGAGTAAAATGACAAATATACTTGATATAGCCATAACTTTCAAATCTTTTGATGAAATACTTTGATACTCAGAATATAAGGATATATTAATAGTGTAGACAAGATGACATGGTCAGAATGCACATGCATGCACGCCGCGCATGCGCATTGATTGAAAAAACTAATACAATTGGTATAGACTTAACTTGTACATTTTTTGATGAATTGCTTTGACACTCAGAATATAAATATATATTAGAAGTGTAGACAAGAAGACTTGATCGGTGCAAACATGCATGCACGTGCGTGCACGTGCGTGCACGTGCGTGCGCGTGCAATGAGTAAAATGACAAATATACTTGATATAGCCATAACTTTCATATCTTTTGATGAAATGCTTTGATACTCAGGATATCAGGATATATCAATAGTGTAGACAAGATGACATGGTCAGAATGCACATTCATGCACGTGTGCGCATGCGCAATGATTGAAATAACTTATACAAATGATATAGACTTAACTTGTATATTTTTTGATGAATTGCTTTGAAACTCAGAATATAAATATATATTAGAAGTGTAGACAAGATGACATGATCAGCGCGCACATGCATGCATTTTCATGCACGTGCGTGCGCGTGCAATGAGTAAAATGGCCAATATATTTGATATAGCCATAACTTTTACATTTTTTGATGTAATACTTTGATACTCAGAATATATAGACAGATTATAAATGTAGACAAGACGACATTGTCATCATGAATATATGCATGCACGTGCGCGCGCATGCAATGCTAAAATGACCAATATACTTGATATAGCTGTAACTTTTATACTTTTTGATGAAATGATTTGATACCCAAAATATGTAGATATATTAATAGTGTTGACAAGATGACACGGTCATCATGGACATGCATGCACGTGCGCGCGTGTGCAATGCGAAAAATGACAGATATACTTAATATAGCCGAATTTTTTTTATCTTTTAATGAAATTTGAATATAAAGATGTATTAAAAGTGTAGACAAGTTGACATGGTCATTTTGTAAATGCATGCCTGTGCGAGCGCGTGTAATGCGTTAAAAAAAAACAATATACTTAATTGCCTTATTTAATGAAGCTTACAGGGAATAAGACACCAAAAGGAAGTTGGGGAGCGTTTGGGGAACATCTGTAACGGTCCCCGTTACAATTAATACTAGTTTTTATTTAAAATAAGACACGTGAAGCAAATTATCTTTGATCATTAGCAATATATTTTCTGATTGTTTGGCTTTGAAATAAAAATAGTTTATCATGAAATTAAATTATACTGTAAAATGAAAACTAGCCTCCTCGACCATGATCTACTATAGTCCCTGGTCCGTCTCCGTCCTGCCCGATGAATTCAGACGACCAATCCGGACCCCGTCTGACCCTGGTGCCGATTGGTGGCATGTTAGAAGACCCCTCACTTGGAAGTGCATCGTCATCGTCGTCGTCATCATTCTGTCCTCGTTGAGGTGGTGGATTTCTCACATATTCCACGAGATCGTCCTTTCAAAAATATTATATTATTTTTCTCATTATATTTAAACCCAAAACAAAACTGTTTGAGGAAGTATATATACGCGCATATACACATGGCGTGGATGTATATGTTAAATATTACAAAAAGGGATGTAATTTGTTGAAATAAATGTTTCGTTCACTTCAACTTTATCAAAAGATTTAATTAGAACTATGATAAAGTTATAAAAAATTTTTTAATTAACCGATTCAGCAAAATGTTTTCACCCATTACTTGGTCGCCAAAAAACATGAAATCGCTCCAAATATGCACACACGTTATAACCATTACGCTCATCATTTAGATTGTGAAAAGGTTAATCGGGATGTATTGAATACAATGGTTTTATTTTATCAAACAATGTATACAAATACACCATCCTTCTTAATCTGTTTGTTGTTTTAATCAGACATTATTAAAATAAAATCAATCTTGTATTTCGTCTAGATTGGATGCATTAAGATAATTACTAGTGATAATCCTCTGTTTGAGTTTGATACAGAGATAATTAACAGTTGCTAATCACCTGTCTGATTTTAATGCTTAGATAATTAACAGTTGCTATTCATCTACCTGTGTTCAATACTAAGACAACTATCAGTTGCTAATCCTCTGTCCGAGTTTGATACTAAGATAACTACCAGTTGCTAATCCTCTGTCCGAGTTTGATGCTAAGATAACTACCAGCTGCTATTCCTCCGTCCGAGTTTGATACTAAGATAACTACCAGTTGCTAATCCTCTGTCCGAGTTTGATACTAAGATAACTACCAGCTGCTATTCCTCTGTCCGAGTTTGATACTAAGATAACTACCAGCCGCTAATCCTCTGTCCGAGTTTGATACTAAGATAACTACCAGTTGCTAATCCTCTGTCCGAGTTTGATACTAAGATAACTACCAGCTGCTATTCCTCTGTCTGAGTTTGATACTAAGATAACTACCAGCTGCTATTCCTCTGTCCGAGTTTGATACTAAGATAATTACCAGCTGCTATTCCTCTGTCCGAGTTTGATACATGCACTTAGATAATTGACAGTGGTTGTTTTCTCTGTCTGAGTTTGATATTAAAATAATTACTATTGTCTATTTTTCTTTCTGAGTTTAATACTAAGTTATTACAATGGTAATTCCTCTGTCTAGTTTGATATTAAGATAATTACTAATGCCTATTTACCTTTCTGAGTTTGATATTAAGATAATTACTAGTGCCTGTTCCTCTACAAGTCTGAGTTTAATATTTAGACAAATACAAATGCCTATTTACCTTTCTGAGTTTGATAGTAAGATAATTACAACTCCCTATTCCTCTGTCTGAGTTTGATATTTAGTCATTTACTAATTCTTATTTCAATATCTGAGTTTGATAGTAAGATAATTACCAGTGGCTATTCCTCAGTCCGAGTTTGATATTGAAATAGTTACTAGTGCCTATTCCTCTGTCTGAGTTTGATGCCAAGATAATCACTACTGCAAATTTTTCTTTCTGGATTTGATATTACAATAATTGCAGTCCTATTCCTATGTCTGATTTGATATTAAGATAATTATTAGTGCCTATTCCTGTGTTTGAGTTTGATATTGCGATAAATACTTGTACCCATTCCTTTTTTTTGAGTTTGACTCTAAGATAATTAACAGTGCCTAATCCTCTGCTTGAGTTCGATATTGATACAGTCCTCTTCCTCAGTCTGACTTGATATTATGATAATCACTAATGACTATTCCTCTTTCTGAGTTTGATATTAAGATAATTACTAGTGCCTTTTGCTCTGTCTGAGTTTTAAAGTAAGGTAATTACCAGTGCCTACTCTTCTGTCTCAGTGTGATATTAAGACACTGACTTTGATATCAAGTTTATTACGAGTAACTTTTTCTCTTTCTGAGTTTTATATTAAGATAATTACCAGTGGTTATTCCTCTGAGTTTGATGTTAAGATAATTACCAGTGGTTATTCCTCTGAGTTTGATGTCAAGATAATTGCTACTGACTATTCCTCTGTCTTACTTGATATCAAGATAACTACCAGTGGTTATTCTTCTGACTGAGTGTGATATTGAGATAATTACCAGTGGTTTTACCTCTGACTGACATTAATATTAAGATAATTACCATATTTAAATCTCTATGTGAAACCACTGAAGCCTCTGCTGCTGTTCTCACCATGTACGGATCAGCTTTTCGATAGTCTGGAAAATTGTTACGCAATGCCGCTGCAATAAACTGTAACAGAATGTGTTTTCATTTCAAAGCAGCATATCATATTCCCTTATACTTTATATCGATACTTATTAATGAATAAAAGTTTTTTCATGAATCCGAGTTTAAGAATCATAACTGCTGTTGAAAAAAAAATTAAAACTTTCAATCTTAGAAAATAAGTTTCTCCAACTACAATGGATTACCTCTGTATGAAATTGATGGATCAATTTGTCAAAATTTGCTGGTTGGACAATTTTTCCGGATGTAGCCTCAACTAATGGACTTATAATGGCCTAAAAATGATAATAAACCCTCATCTCTTTAAAGTGAATAATTCAATACATGTACTTCTCGTAAGGTTAGAAAAAACATTTTATTACGTAAAACAGAATTAGCACTACATCTGAAGAGGCTGAATATTACTCGTATTTGTATCAAATGAATATATTTGTCTTGCAGCCTGACTGAAGAATATCAATTTTTTAACAAGAGTACACATAATTTGAATATATTCAGAAGATATTATATTATTTCAATTCATTTATTTACGTCGTTGGCCTGTCCTACAGGAACACAGTAAACTCTGTTACATCCCTCTTTGAAATGTCTTGCCATGCTCATAATGTCATTGTTTATCTATACAAGACGAAAATATTTCATGTGGATCAAAAATTAGAATAACTAAAATGAAATAAAATTGTAATTCAATATTGTGCTAAAATATAATAAACAGTGTTTTTAAGGATTATATCAGTTTAAAATCTTTGAAGAAATTAACAGTTCATATATTTTCAATATCTTATCATCCAGAGTTTTCCTATTTTAAGTATCAATAATTAATTAATTGTAGGACCATCATTAGTTCCGACATATCAGGAACAAAGTCGTCATTGGCAGTAACCAGTTCGGGTGTGGCCACCCCGTCTGTGATGACAATGATACGAGGGAAAAATCCCATCCCGTCCATGTGGGGAATTGTCACTTCAAGGAAAGCAATATCCAACTATTACCACAAATTATTCAACAAAAACAGTAAAAGATCTTTTAGTCATTTTTACGCTCACCGCAAATCATTTTGACGGTATTCAAAGCAATGAAAAGCCGCCAATTTAACCAAATTAATATTAAGAATATAAAACTGTGGATCCAAAACAGATCTGGACAGATTTTCTTCTTTAAAAGCTGACAATAGTTTCTTTACTGATTTCAATCTAAAGTTAAGTTTGAAATATTCAAGTAATACAATAAAAATGAATTAATTACATATTAAAGATATTTTTGTAAGCTTGAAAAAATCACTGAAGTTTAAAACAGTAAGTATTGTGAATAAAAATAAAGACAAAAATCACCTCCCCTGGTCAGTGGTAAAGAGAGCATCAGTCCTGCAGTGAGAGGACTGGGCCCGCCGGGGCTCAATCTGTCTGCACAAAATCGAAACAATGACATATACATTGTACATACATACATACATACATACAAGGTAAATATATAGGTATAATGAGATGTGTTTACTGACTGATTTCTTGTTTCAGTCTCGGATAATCCAAGCAACAGCGACTGATAACTTTTGTTTCTGCTCCAAAACAAACCAATCCAACTTTTTCAGAAATCGTAGGGTTATTCTCCACGCCTACACATATAAAAGTAACATAAATCAAATATTAATTTTAAGTCATTATAGATTTTGACGTACAAAGCCATACCAGTACATGTATATTAATGTTTTAAAACTGAGAAAAAACTTATTAGTCTCCTACCGGTGAAACCGGAGGGGACTATAGGTTTCCTCTGAGTCTGTCCGTCCGTCTGTCTGTCTGTCTGTCCCACTTGGTTTTCCGCACTTTTTCCCTAAACGCTTGTAGATATTGAGCTGATTTTTGGTATGTGGCTTTACCTTGATTAGTTATAGATCAAGTTTGCATTTCGTCCCGCTTCATTAATTTTTGACGGAATTATGGCATTTTCAATTCTTAACGGGAACCAGATTACACTTGCCGGTAGGGGACTAGTATTGCTAATGCAATACTCTCAGAATGCTTGTTTGTTATGTAAACCACATCACTTGAACGAAAAATGTACAGGACAATTACTAATTTATTCAAAGAAAACACAAATATTTTAATACAGTTTGAGTATATTTAGATTTTGTTATGAATAGGGAATCAATAGGTGAAATATGATGCTAATGATCAGTAAACATGCCCATTTCTCCAAATAAACGATATAAATTTAGAGCAAAGCAAACTTGGATCTCTGAAGACAGAGGTAGGATCAGGTGCCACAGAGGAGTGAATATCCTGTGTCCATCGGTCACACCCACCGTGTCTACGTTCAACTAATAATAATACTAATTGACTACACACCAGACAGGAATCTGAGAGCCAGGTCTATCATGGTTCTGAAGGCATTCCCCCACATGCTGTCTGAGGTATCCAGACAAAGAACTGTATTCGGTCCGCATGCGTTATCAGCTGGTCCTTCTAGAGCATCTGAGAAAAATGTGGACACAATGATACACAAATCGTTTACGTTTTCTTCATTAAACATGAAATTTGTATTGAAATATAAATCGTTGAACTTGTCAAGCTAAATTAACAATAAACTTTACATTCAGGAGTTACATACTTCTTCGAAGAATCTCATTTGCTTTGTCTACCCAGTAGCCCGGATTCAAAATCTCTCTTTGTTTACTGGCGGAAATGGAAAAGTCTTTAAAAAATATAAATCAACAGTAAACGGCAATATGAACGAAATCTAGGAGTCATTTTTGTTTACTTTGAAAAAATAAATTTCATGTAAAATTAGAATACACCTATATATTTACTTTTTTTGGTATCCCGATCTGGAATGTTAGATTGGTTTGTTATTTCCTCCTGTCGTCTTGCGACACTTTCACTTGACTGCCCTGAATTTGATTTTGAGTTCACTATGTTTGTTTCCTCCTGTTGTCTTGCGACACTTTCACTTGACTGCTCTGAATCTGACTGGAGTTTATTAGGATTCACGTTTGTTACCTGTTGTCGTCCAGCATTACTGCCATTTGACTGTCCTGAATGTGACTGGACTACATTAGGATTTATTTTGTTTCCTCGTGTAACTTCTCTTTCCTCCTCTGAGACTGATTTGTCAACCTGTTCCGCTTGCCTTGATTGAAAAACATTTTCTGATGGTTTGTTTTCTGAGATTCCTTGGCAGTTTATTTTCACATGCTTGTCAGATTCTTGAGATGATGATGATTGCGGTTTTGGAAGAGGAATACCATGTGAATTACTTACGCTGTTGCTATTGACTTTTTTATTCTCGTCAGATGACCTACTAGTAAAATATGACATGTTCAATTTTTGCACGACCTGCAATTTTCAGCCCATAAAGAGATAATTTTTTATATAATAGATATAACTGATTTGGATATTACGTTAAGAACCCGTCATAGTGCATAATGCTACAAGTTGAGTCCCGCTGAACTTTTCAAAAGGAATAGTTTCCATCACGGAGTAAAGTTTATGTTCTATTTTTCCATTTTTTACGGTGACAAAAGTTGAAAAGGTTATAAAATCAACATTTTAACTCTATATTATACTTGTAAAAGTTTAAAATAAAGCAGAGGTCCACCATGGGTAATTTTCGTTTTTATTACGTTTTGAAAATGTACGTTTTTAAGAATGTGATAAAGATGAAAATGACTTTACCTTCTATTTTCATTTACTAATACAAATTGTTTCACCTTTTGTTTTGAATCAGAGAATTTTGAGAAAAGAAATGATATTATGACTGTTATCGTGTATATTACGGAGTGCGTGGTAATTGTACATTCGATGTATCCTTCAAATGGAGAATCTTGTTTGTACAACAGAGATTTTTTTTTGTTTTCCTCTTTTATTAAAAAAAAAAAACAACTATAAAACATGCATATTGATATTCAAAGCATTCATGCATATTAATATTTAAAACATTAACTCATGTACCATTGTCCCATCGAGCTTTGTTGTGAACCTTCATTGTTCTCATGATGTCTAGTTTCGATAGTTTTTCTCCAGTCTTTTTTTTCACTTTCTGCTGAGTCCTGTTCGACATCATTCGCCTTTACGGTTTGTGACATAACAGGGTGCTTCGTTTCCTTCCTCTCTTCCGATTTTTCCATATTTTTCTCTTCTCCGTGAAACCCCATAGAAGTTCTGTTGGATTGTAAATCATGAATTTCCTTTTCCATCACACTCAGGTTTTCTGTAAGTTTGGATAGAATCGTTTTGAGATGTCGAATGGCTTCATCTTTTTCTTTCCGCCTTTGAGTGAAATTCTCAACAATGCTTTCAAGTTCTAAAAATAATATGCTTGGGTATTGTTTCGTTTTATGTAATGTCAAAGGCCTCAAAATTAAAACTTCTTAATTTCATAAATCTACACGCGTAAAGCTTAATTTGTAGACTGCAAACAATTGTAAATAATAAATGAAAAGCTAACTTGTCCCTTTCCTCATAATAGGCATTAGAATAATGTTACGTTGCATAATATTCCAACTTGAGATTAAAATTTATATTTCACGAATTGACAAAAATTTGGAAATCTATATCTATTTTACATGTTAGGCATTGACATGAGTTGCATTTACATTTTACAACTGTGAAGTTGGACTATGACAGTTGAAACTGTTTTTATACATGTATGTATAGACAATCAAAATTTACAAAGCGAGTTATAAAGAAGTTGGATTTCGAACCCTTTAGCTTTTCATTTTGTTATTGTACAATACCATACTGTAGATTTCATTGACCTCGAGTCCTCTACTCCTTTTAATATTTCAAAAATAGATCATTATATAACACATTATATAGATATAGCTCACGAATGATGTAGTACCTCCAATGATGCTCATTCCGTCTTTGTTTAACTCTCTTTGGGACCTGCAAGATTCGCAGCATAGTTATTCTATAATATACTATAAGTGTATTAATAGCCTTAAAAATCATCAATTTATACAGACCCAAATATTTTAAACTCACATATGCTTCTGAACATTTTTTTCCCCGTAACATTTTTATCGTCACATCAGCGAAAAAATGGGAATACTAATAATGTATTGAGTCTGATTTTGAATTGGACATTGTACATCTGCCAACAACAGTACACTTTGTCTTGTTCATGGTTCAGTGTATGCGATAATATGGACTTTCAGAACAATGTCTCAAAATTAACATTATTGACTATACATACTCTTAGAAACGTATGTGTTTCTACTGAATTTTTACTCACTACAGTTGTAAACTAGTTACAACATGTGAATTTACTTTGTACGTACTCGCTGCGTTTGTTGACTAGATTCAGAATATCTCGGTGATCTCTCTCTAGTTGTTCCATTGACCTTAGGCATCTCTCTACCTGAAATACGAAATGAAATCATTAATTCCAGTCGAATCAAGTTTTCATTTTCACAGGAGATCATGTTCCAAACTTGAAGTTTGCTTTTTACCTGTTTTTGAATTTCTTCTTTGGTCTCTCTGTTTAGTTCTTCACTATTATCACTGGCCTTTGTGTTTAACAGCTCATGTTTAGCACTGCAGGTACCTCCCTCTATTTTGGAAACCACATTATTCCCACTTAAGATACCGGCCTCTTTTTGTGATTCGTCATTATCATTACTGATGACACTGGCCTCTTTTTCTGATACTTCATTATCATCACTACCCAGAGTGTCACTGTCCTCAGATATGAATTCAAGGTCATCTATTATTGGACAAACCTCCTCTGAATTGTAACTCTCTCCTGATTTCGAATCCGAGTTCTGGTCCAAATCTTCTGATGTAGTTTGGTTATTACTTGTGTCATTTTTTGGCAAACCTTTTGTTTCTCCAACAACATCATCTTCTTTGTCTGTAAGAACTTTGGTTGTTTTATCATCCTTTACAACGTCCAAAACTTGAGAGGGAGCTGAAACCGAACTGGGTACCTCGTCATGGTTCGAATTTTGTCCGTCGATGTCATCTGTTTTGGATTCTGAAGTGTGATCCTGAATAACTTCCTCTTTAGCGTCATTATCAACAACATCTTTTCCAGGAATTAAAGGCCCTGAACTCAGCGTTGTTGCTGGTAATTCATTTTCTAGCACACACTCATCTTCTGGCATCACATCACGTGACACATCTCCGCCAGACAAGGTCTTTGTTTGGGGCACAGGATCCACGGAGGACCCTTCCCTTGAGTCCTGTGCTGTTAAAAACAAATTGAGCATATCCCATAAATAGGAATAAGTTATAAATAAATAGAAAATAGAAAAATAGAGTTATTATTGAATCAAAGTCGCATGATAAATGCATGTAACTATAACTAATGATACAAGCATCTTCACAGAAAAAAGTGAATTCTTCATTATGTAAATAAATTCTCAAATAACAATTGATACTATACATCATTAAATAATGCAATTAAATGGAAAACATCTAAATGATATAAATATTATGCTGATTTTCAGTATTCTGACACCAATTGTTTGTTACAATGTCTTGTCAGGTTTTATTCCATTTGAGAGAAGGACTGGGATGTAAATTAAACTTTTAAAAACATCTAAACTATTTTCAACATGGTTAAATTTGGTAACTCCATTTCTATTAACTTTATACAATATTTTTTTATGTCAAAAGGGTGATGCTTGCAAATATTCTCTGTATCTATGCCATTGCACAGACATTTGCTTCCATCATCATCTATAATAGTGTTCTCTTTTATAAGTTAATGAAACTACAGATTCAAGAAAATTAATTTTGATTTTAATTTTAATTTTAGTAAGATACTTCTCAAATAAACATTGATTGCAAGTCCAGTTAATACAGAGAGGTTCCGAAGTTTATTAAGTATTTTAAGGATTAAATTGTTAATTTTAACTTTATTTTTTAAGAAACTGACAAACTAAATATCAATAAATATAAGATAAAGAGTCCAGTTTGCCACTGCATTAAATTTATAGCATACTCCCACTATTGGTAAGGGTAAGGATGTACTATGTGACAATGAAATCATTGAACAATACCTTTTATTTCTGTTTTGCTGTCGTTATTACCCATAGTTTTAACTAACGTTCCTCGTCATCGCTGTCTGTCTCTGGATGTTCTTCCTTACACTAAAGGACACAAAACAGAGTATCACTGCAGACTGGCTGTATATATAGGATGTGTTTTGTGGAGTATGCATGTAAAAAAGAATTATTTTTAGATACAGGGAAGGACTTGTTATGTTATACCACTTTCCGTTCCATCGTTTCAATTTTAGTTCTGCATTTCAACTTCTAAAATTAAACGGTATGATCAGTTTTATGAAAATATTATATACTGAACAAAAATGTTAGCACTATAGGTAAATTTTCCCCAGGTGTTTGGAGACAGGCCTCCCTCCCCAAATATATATTAAGGGCTTTCCGAATTATTTTTTCATGATTTCACGTCCCCAAGCACCTGCGAATTTTGCTCGAGGCCAAAGCGAAAGTAGGTTATGAATTGGTTTTTAACTCTTTGTAATTCAGTAAAAATTAAGTAATAAATTTATGGTTCATTGACTGTTCACATATAACTTTATTACCTGCACACAACTTATTTATTACTTATACACAATGAATACATTATAAAACACAAAACTATTAATTCGTAAAAGGGGAAACATTAATTCAACTCTATCGAAAATGAAATTGGATATCGGACCCCCTCCCCCAGTCATCAACAATCAAGTAATTACACAAATAATCAAAACTTTTTTCATTGTATAACTAAAATCTCAAAGATGCCAAAAGGCAATAAGAAATAATTTATAATGTTTTACCTTACTGACTGAACATTCCACAAGCCTAAACTATCGTTTCATGTTGGAAATGCCCAGATTCTAAAAATAGCTCCTAAAATTCTACATCGGAAAAGGAGGAAATTTCCGAGACTTAATTGTCTTTCACTAAGTCATATTGACTCATTCAGCTGAATTTTGCTATGTATATGATTAATGTCACCATAAATAAGAATATACACTGTAATATACTTTATATGATAAATATGGCACGCAAAATTCACAAAAAATTAGATAAACATAATTTAACAGTTGATAAACTAGGTTTATCGATTGTAAACTATAGTTTACGATCTGTAAGCTATAGTTAACGATTCGTTAACTATAGTTTTCATATGAAAAACTATATTTAACGGTTGTAAAGTATAGTTTACGTATGCTAATCTAGGTTTATCTGTCTGTAGATAAATGTTAACAATAGATTTTACTGATAAATATAGATTCTCATTTGTAAACTATAATTTACATTATTCGTTAACCATAGTTCAGAGTTGTAAATCATAGTTTCACAAATCGTAAAACTATATTTATCAGATAAACTATATTTTACATTTGATAATTATTTAGGTCGTAAACTATACTTAACTGTCATTACCAATTATAAACTATTGCCCTGTTCACACGGAGAGTTTAATTCGCAGTTAATTAATTCGAACTAAACTAATGCGAATTAGATTGCGTTCACACGAGAGCTACTGCGAAGTAAACTAATGCGAATTAAAATTATATTTCTACAGTACAAGGCTATTCTGTAAGCCTATCATGACGTCATTTTCAAATCACGTCACATTGTGCAGAGCATGTACATTTTACATAATGTCATAGTGTCTGTACACATTTTATTGATTAACATAATTTTCTTTGGTTTTCACTCAAAAATAGCACAAATTACTACAGCTGACCACCGACAAGTGGTCTTTGACTTAATTCTGCCCTTACGCATGCGTCAAAATTTAATTCGAATTAGCTTCGCTTAGCGTTCACACGGAGCTAATGCGAAGTAATTTAATGCGCAGTAAATTAATTCGAATTAAACTAATTCGCATTAAATTCTCCGTGTGAACGCGGTTCAAATTTAATTCGCAGTAACTTACGTTTAATTCGAATTAAACTCTCCGTGTGAACAGGGCATATATTTAACAGACGTAAACTATACTAAACGATCGTATACTATAGTTTTGAGAGATAAACTAATTCACACTTGCCAATCGTAATTTATCGTCATAAACTTTAATTTACACTCGTAAACTATAGTTAAGAGTTGTTAAATATAGTTTATGGATCTAAATACCTGTTATCTAGCTGTTAAAGATTATAGTTTTCAATTCAAAATCTTGCGGCACCAATCGCGAGAGGAAATACTGAATGTGTGTCATTATCGTAAGTTCTATATAATAGCGAAAAACAAATCATGCTTCATAAAAAACAGAATTAGTTGAGTAATTTCTTTTCTTGATAATCTTAAATTCATAAGTCAAGCTTTCAGCAACTCTTTTCATACCAGCAATGCTCATTCAATTTTGTTTGATCTACGACGCAAAAGGTTGGAAAGACGACAAGGATAAATGATTTATTCCGTTGCTGATGAAGAAAAAAATTGATTACAAACCCTCAAAATGCATTTTTCTCCATCTTTCTCTTTTAAATAAAAAATTAATTTTGATCAATAATTGTCCTGTAATTTTTCTTTTTATTTCCAACTAGATTTGCTTTAAAATGAAAGAACATTTACCATTTACTTTTAATGTCAACAAGAAATATATACACTCGTGAAAATATCAAAAAATCCTGTCCCACTCGTGAAATAAATTCCATATTCATCTACAAAACATTGAATATTCTGTTTATTACATTTTCTTTGATTTTCCTTTTGCCTCTGTCTTTTATTAACACAGTGTCATAGGCTTGACGTCATAGTTGAGCGGTTGAGACGTCATACTTAGCAGTTGTGAGATTGAAAACTTTACATAGCATGGATTTTTGCAACATATTTGGGAAGAAGTCTGCTGTTCTAGCTCTATCAAGATGGTTAGTTATTAGCTCTATCTTATGACAGACCAGAAATTATTTTTTACTTACTTTGATATCCTTCCTTTCACACTGTGAGAGAATATCACTTTTATTCAATAAATAAATCACAGTATTTCACTGTTGAAAATGTTATTATATATATATATATATATATATATATATATATATATATATATATATATATATATATATATATATATATATATATATATAATATATATTTAATATATATTATAATTACGGATAGAATTACTGTTACATGTAACTATAGTTTTGATCGTAAACTATACTTTAGAGTTGTGAAATATAGTTTTACAGAAATTATGCATCTCCAATACAAAATCAGATATTAAGGCGTTAAACTATATTTAAATACAATTTTGTGAATTTGGCGCCATAAATAGTTTGCAACCGTAAACTGTAATTAACATACGTTAACCATAATTTAGAGTTGTAAACCATAGTTTACAAATCGTGAAACCGTATTTTTCAGATGAACTATGTTTTCGGTGTTTAGTATAGTTCACACTTGTGAAACATAGATAAGGCGTTAACTATTGTGTAGAAATGTGAAATATAAATTACGTCGTTAACTATGGTTACCTTCCGTAAACTATAGTTTACAAGCGATAAACTTAGTTTGTCAACTGTGAAATTATGTTTAGCACATTTTTGTGAATTTGGCGTGCCATAGATACATTCTTGTAAAAATGGGGGTCTGGGGAGGGGGGCGCATCAAATTAGGAACCTATCCAAGTGTCTTTAAATACAATGTCATCTGGCCACGGCGTGTTTGCAAATATGTATTTCTGACCTTGATCTTGGCTATGACCTTGACCTCACTATTCCTTTATTTGCTATTAGCTGTTTCAAAAAAAAAAAAAAAAGAAAAAAAAAAAAAAAAAAAAAAAAAAAAAAAAAAAAAAAAAAACTTATTCAAGATATTTTTTAATCAAATCTCGTTCAATGATGCACATTGGTGAGAAACATTCAACTGTGACAAAATTTTCTGACTTTGATCTTCCCTAATACCTTTCTTCAAACTTCAAACATTGATAAAAACTGTTTAGGGCTATTCAAATATGTCATTTTTTTCCTTTTTCTCGCAGATGACATTGGCTTTACTATGCTTCATTTTGTGTTTCTTTAATTTTCAAAGAAACTGTTCAAGATATTTTCTTCAAACTCCATACACTGATAAAAATTGGTGAAAGCATATCAACTGTTTCATTATTTTTTTTTAAAAAAAAAAACTTTGACTTTCCTGTGACCTCCGCCTCTGTATTCTGACATTTTGCAGTGACCTTAGTTTGAGAAAAAAATGTGGAAGTTATTTTCATCAAACTCAATACATTTAAACAAATTGTTGAGAGCGATTCAATTGTGTCATTATATATTACAATTGTCTAACTTTGACCTTCTGTATTACCTTTATTGTCACTTTTTATTTCAAATTTCACTCTTTTATTGAATTAAGATTCCATAAAGGTCTACTTCATTTTACTTGGAACTCTGTTCACAAACCTCTACCCACTTAAAAGATCATATACCGGTATATGAGAGAATTAACTAGAGGCCATTTCTTCGGATGAGACCGTATAAACCGAGGTCCCGTGTCGCAGTATTTACTGACACGAAAATGATCCCTCACTGCTCCTTGGCCCTAAGTGCCGGGTATAGGTCAAAGATTTGCAGTCCTCTGTCGGAAAGTGGTGGCATCTCCATATGAGTGAAAAATTCTTGAGAGGGGCGTTAGACAACAAACAAACAAACAAAACCTATACTGGGTTCCTAAACTACATAAAAATCCTTTAAAAAAAAAAAAAGGTACATAGCGGGTTCCAATAAATGTTCTACCAAGCCTCTTTCTTTACTCCTCACTAAAATGCAAATAACAGTGAGGGAGAAACTTCAGGAAAAGTGTACAACAATATATTCGAGAAGTGGTCTAAATCAGATATGGATACTTAAAAACTTTTAGAAAATTTGAAATTACAAAATTTTACCAAAATCAATAACATCAAAAACGTACTTTTCAACACTTAATACAACCATTCCTCACGATAAACTTGAATCCAGGATTTTTGACATCATAGACAGCTGCTTTTTCAATAAATGGTGAGCTCGTAAATCTATGGCATGTCAAACGTTGCAATATTTGATCTTTTCCATTTGTATTGTATAACTTTCCATTTGTATTGTATAATTTTTATTTGTATTGTATAATTTTTCATTTGTGTTGTATAATTTTTCATTTGTATTGTATAATTTTCCATTTGTATTGTATAATTTTTATTTGTATTCTATAATTTTCCATTTGGATTTTATAATTTTCCATTTGGATTGTATAATGTTTATTTGTATTCTATATTTTCCATTTGTGTTGTAAAAAAAATAATTTGTATTGTATAATTTTTATTTGTATTGTATAATTTTCCATTTGCATTGTATAATTTCTGATTTGTATTGTATAATTTCTTATTTGTATGCGATAATTTTTCATTTGTATTGTATCCGAGGATTGTTTATTTATTTCGTTACGAAGGATGTCATTGGTCATAAAATTTAGTCTGTATAAAGGTCTCAGGTGCCCATCACAAACTTAGTCTGGTACCCTTCCCACAGTTCCGATCGCGCATTCTCTACAAACACAAACTCGGCTCCTCTATTTGCAGTGCATGCTAAGGGACGACCATTTGATTCTCGGGGGGTGTCGAATCTGATTATTTATTTTCATTCTCTCGCAGGAGAGAATATTTATTTCCAATATGACCAGAGACAAGGAGAAAAACAAAAAGAAGAAAATCCGCCCAAACCCGAAAACTCAGTTTTTTGGGGGTGGGGGTAGGTTCCACCACTCAAGGTCAATTTATTTATTTTCTCAGTCAGCATTTCTAAGGACAGATTATTTATTTGCCATCTACCAGCGCTCCTTTTTTAGAATCCAATGACCGTCTAACATGCACGCAAATACATATATCGCCGAAATATGGCTGAAATATTGCCGACTCGGCGTTAAACAATAATCAATCAATCAATCAAGCAAATACATATGAGCCCAGTTTGCTTTGAGCATCCGGAACATCTTCAACCCGATACAGGCTGAAACTTGACCAATGAAATCCTTCGTAACGAAACAAATAAACAGTCCGCGGATACAATACAAATGGAAAATTATCGCATACAAATAAGAAATTTTACAATATAAATAAGAAATTATACAATGCAAATGGAAAATTATACAATACAAATAAAAATTATACAATACAAATGAAAATTATACAATACACATAGAAAATTATAGAATACAAATAAAAATTATACAATACAAATGAAAAATTATACAATACAAATGGAAAATTATACAATACAAATAAAAATTATACAATACAAATGGAAAATTATACAATGCAAATGGAAAAGATCGAATATTGCAACGTTTGACATGCCATATAAATCTACTAACCTTGTCAATGGTCATTTGCAAAATTACTTTGTTAAGAAACATTTTAATTGTACACACAAGTACTCCAAAGTTGATATTAAAAAGATGATTGAGTTTCTGATTGATAATATCGATGTAGTTTTTGGAGATCAAATCTTCGAACAAGCTGTTGGAATTTCCATAGATACAAATTGCGCCCCGTTATTAGCAGACCTATTTTTGTATTCATATGAAGCAGAATTTAATTAAACCTTATACATGAGAAGAAGAAAAAAATACTTGCTGAGGCCTTCACTTCGACATTTAGCTATATCGACGATGTATTATCAATTAACAATAGTTACTTCCATTCATATGTCGACTCGATTTATCCCAGTGAAATTGAAATAAGATAAAACAGTGTCTGGCACATTTGTTTCATATTTGGATATTTTACTAGAAAAAGACGTTAGTGGTAACCTAACAACAAAACATTATCATAAACGTGATGATTTCAAATTTTCAATCCTTTACTTATGTAGCAATATACCTTTATAACCTGTGTATGGGGTTATGCCTCTCAGTTGATTAGATACGCAAGAACATGCTCTAAGTACGAATAATTTCTAAAACGAGACAAGCTTTTGACAAACAAGTTGATCAAACAACTATTTCAAGATTCTTGTTGAAAGTCATCATTTCGCAGGTTCTATCGTCGATACAATGACCTTGTCGGCACATACAATCTATCATTAAGTCAAATGCTGACTGACGTTTTTTATACTAATTGTTAGGATATTATTTACACACTGAATTGTCAATAGATTTTTCCGTTTTTCCCAATCATGACAAGATAAGGAGCATACGGCGGATGTGACCGGTGGGCAAGGGATGCTTACATAGCACCTGATGCAACCACTGATGTTTTGAAGGTCCGTGTGTTTGCTCTGCTCCCGATTTGTATTGTTTGAAAGGACTTTTGAGCTTGAGTACTGTTCTTTATCTCCATATTTCATGCAAGAGCATGCTCTTCTTATGATCAATTCCCAAAACGAGGCCAAACTATTGACAGTTGATGTAACAAGAATATCAACAGACGCGTTTAAAGTCAACATTTCGCAAATTCTCTGGTCGATGCAATGATTTTTTTGCAAATACAATCTTTCATGAAGTTGAGTGTTGACTTAAGTTTTTCGTACAAATTTTAGGCCATTATTTTTACAATGCATTGTCTACGATTTTTCCGTTTGTCCGATCAAGATAAGGAGCACATGGCGGCTGTGACCGGTCAACAGGGGATGTTTTTCCATGGCACCTGATCCCACCTCTGATGTTTGTTCTGCTCCAAATTTGTATTGTTTCTATGGACTTTTAAGCTTGATAATTGTTCGTTATCTCCCTATTTCATTCATATACAAAAATAGGGGGTCCCTGATTATTAATTACTCAAGCTGTCCTCAGCACTAAGCCGGCTTAAAAATTCAAAATACCTCCAATTTTCATACACGTTTCTATGCATAGTTTATGCTTATAATTCATCTTAATGCATAACATTATAACCGTTATAGACATTTAACTTTCATTCTATACCAAACAGATATCACCAACATCAAGCAGGTAAGATTTTTTCTTTTTGTCAATTAAAGCGAGGCATGTGAATTTCCTACATGCAATTTATTTCAGTCTGTTGATCTTCACTTTTTAATTATGGACTGGATCGATCTAATGTTAGCTCAGCTTCTCACGCCATCTAGCGTCAATTCAGTTAATGCCTGTTGGTTTTGCATCGGTGATCGTTCGTTTTGACATGCTCAGTTATTGTTTGTATTCTAAAGCTTTAGTCCTGCATATATTTTGAATCTTTGAAATCAGAGAATAAATATTTTCTTACTTTACAGAATGTATATTTTTGTTCGAATGTTGAGCTCTTGATCCGATGTATATGCGCAACCTTTATTTTAAGTTATGTTTAAAAAAGTAATTATGAAAAAAAGATGGGGATTTTCTATACCAGAAGCTTTATCAAAGTGTATTTTCTTAAAAAAAATCAATACTGTGAAATTCATTCTTTTTTTGTTTTGATCACCTCTCTGCTCTAAGTACTGTAAGGTTCTATGTATGCTACTACTTGAAGATTCTTAAAAAAAAGAAAATACAGACCACTATTTCAAAGTATGATTATTTACTCAAGCAAATAAATAAATACAACACTATCGTACACCATGGTTGTCTCTGTATCACAGTCAATGATTCCTTGCATATGCATGTAATATTAGTAAACCTGAAAAGAAAAAAAAATGCGCATGAATTAAACTGAAATATAAAGGATATATTCAAAATTATTTTAATTTTGATTTTATTTCTTGCTAATTTACCTTTCCAGTTGACACAATATTTGAGTTGATAATTGCAGACTGTCTTCCAGATCCGACAACGGCAGCTGAGGCTGCAGACGAGCCGTTTGGTACGACTGAAGCAGCAGCCGCAGATGATGCTGAGGTTTGACCAACAGGGAATTGCGGATAGTTTACACCTTGGACTGGATGAATTACTGGACCCCCGAATGTATTTGGAAATTCCGGTCGAATAACTCCGTCCATTCTAATTCCAGATCCAATGTTGGCACTTGAAGCAGCAGATGCAACTGAGGTGGAACCGCCTACAGCAGCAGAAGAAGCAGATGCTCCAAAAACATGATTGGTAGGAAATTTTACACTTGGGAATGGTTGTACAAACGAACCACCAACTTTTCTTATGAATGGGGATCCTATTCCAATTTCAGATCCAAGTGTGGCACCTGGAGATAGACCAGTAGCAGCTGAGGAGGCTGAAGCGCCCATTGAATTAGCTGAAGCAGTAGCCCCAGAGGCCTGACCAAGAATCTCGTTAGTAGGATAATGTGCACTTGGGATTGGTTTCACCAGTGGACCGGATGGATAACTGATGCTTGGTACCTGATGACCAATAGGTCCATTGTAAGGTGCAGTAGCTTGAAATCCTGCATTTCTAAGGAATGCAGTTCTCTCAGCATCGGAGGTCACTGCTGTAGCAGCAGCAGCAGCAGGGTTTACTCCATTGAATCCAAATCCATTGTTCAAGCCAATCACTCCTGAGTGTCCAGCAAATCTTCTAGCACCAGAAACAGCGGAAGCGGACGCATCCAAACCACTTGTTGCAGCAGAGGAAGCAGAAGCGGCGGCATTCCTTCCATCAAACCCTACAAAGCGAGCATCAAATCCATTGTTGTTAACACCCCTGATCACTTCTTGATTTTGAAGAAGATCAGTTCCCTGTGAACATCCGTACTGTCCGCATCCTGATTTTGGATAATAGTCCTTTGGAACGGGGATCGAAATTGTTCCAGAAATAACGCAGAAAATAACAACAGCACGAATCATCTGTGGAAAAAGAAAAAATGAAAAATCTTTTTGACGATTATGATTTTATAAATTATCTCAGGTGGTGTATTTAAAAGAGAGGAAATGCAACTGAAGCAAAGTTAATATTGATTACCTATCATACACTCAAACCCCCCCCCTCCCTTCCCCCCCCCCCCCCAAAAAAAAAAAAAAGATTTCATATCAACGTATATTTAGAAATTTAATTAAAGGGAAAAACAATTTGGAACTGGAAGGAACTACCAAAGTTAAACAAACTGGACATGTGAAAGCATTTATGCTCAATAAATTTAAAAATTCTATAAATTTTAGATATGTTCTCAAAGCTCACATCTGAATCTAATATACTGTTTTTTTTTCTTTTGACTAAGTCAATACAGGTACTTCGAAAAGAAAAAAAAAATCCAACAGTTTCAAAAGTAATTATTTAATAAAAATGTAAATTAAGCAAAAATTTTATTCATTACTTTAAAAAAATCAAATTTATTTCTGAACATATTATCTTGTGTATTATATTTGCAACAAAATCTTCTACAGTGAAATTTTACCTTGAGATAGACGTATCGTTTACGAGATCTGGTGTATCTGTGCTAATCACTGAGAAGTGTGCCTTATTTATACTGCTAGATCGATGTACATTACAGGAAGGAATGTAATTGCATGTGGTTTGATCTTTTGTGATTACTCAGTAAAATTTAATTTAATGAAATCATTGCAATGATTTAATTGGACGATTGTATAATTTTGAAGAAAATTTAAGGATGACGTGTTTGTCTGAGATCTACAGCAATATTCTTGTATAGAGAGTGACTGCAGTTTTCTTAATTTCCCTGATTTGTTCTGTATGAATAAAGATTTTGCAGATTTTAGCTTAATGATATTGTAATAAAATCATCACTTTTACAAACCAATGAATGAAAAAATTAATTTGATTTTATTTTGCAAAACATTTAAGAAATTTAACATACACTGTATGACCTAAGTTTATTGCTTTATGTTTTTTTTTCAGTAATAATTCATAGAATAAGTGTGTGCAGAAATCACGCATATTATGTTTATAGTATTTACGGGGGGATTTGACTTCCGTCTGTTTATTGAATTATATTTGTGTACCTGTATATAAATTGATAACTGTCTGCCATATACACCTAGTCGTAAACTTCGAAAATAATATCGTATATAATTTATACTATGCAAATTGTAATCACAATACCATTCATGAAATCACTAGTCATTCACGAGAACTTCATTTTTAAGCTGAGACAGTCTTTCAAAAATAACGTGAACATAAAATTCTCGCAAATGAAATGTGATGTGATAATAGGTATTAAATTTTGTATGTCACACTTTTCATATTTCATCAATTTCATAATTATTCTTAACAACTGCTATTGAACTTTGATATTACTGTACAGAAACATTGAAAGAAATTAAGAGATATGTTCCTAAGAAATAAACAATTGTGTATATGTGATATATCATCAATATTCTTGAAAATATAATATAATATAATATAATATAATATAATATAATATAATATAATATAATATATATATATATATATATATATATATATATATATATATATATATATATATATATATATATATATATATATATATATATATATATATATATATATATATATATATATATATATATATATATATATATATATATATATATATATATATATATATATATATATATATATTATTGTTATTATTATCATATTTACAATATATCTACACAAAGTACATGAAAAGAAATGTCAAAGGTTGAAAGAATATCGTGTAGGGAGTGTATGAATGAAAAAAGCGCTATAGATTTGACATTTCCCCCCCGCAATTCTAATTTTAAGACGTTCTGAGAACTCATGTCACATGCCGTTTCTCCTGTCATGTTCACTTTCTGACGAAACAATTCATTCATTGTTGGAGATAATTAGGCTGTGTGGTAAGGGGTCAGTGGGAACAATTTTCTTAAAATACCTTCCTGGTTACGTTAAATATTACTTTAAAAAATCGAAAGAATTAGCTTAATTATCAGTATAGTTTTAGAAATCTACTCAACGCCAAGTAACACCAATAAGTGCATTGCTGACAATAATAATGCATTATAAGAATTCGGGCAAAGATACAAACATAGATAATTAATTCTAATATACATTACATATAGTATAAAAACCTTTAATAAAGTACGAAAAATAAACTAGAATTAACGATTCATTAAAAAAAAAATCATACCCGCGATATTTTAAAATTTATAATACCGCAGGTATGATTTTTTAAATATTAAAAACGTTGACTCTACTTTGTTTTACATTTCCATATTGGATACATTGTAAATGTTTTTGATTATGAAGAATAATTCATGAAAGAAGACAAAAAATATCCTAGGACCCAGTATATATATGGTGGGGGGGGGGGGTTCTGTCCACAAGCACATTTGTTGAATTCATCAACAATGGGATCCGGTAAGGGTCCAGAAATGAGTGAGCTACACGACAGTGCTTCTAGATATATCCTTATTGGAGCAATAATAACAAATATAATCGTTCTAATGTTTTTCTCCTATAAGATATTATATTCACATAAATTATCGATTGCATCAAAAGAATTTAAGGTTTTAATAGAAAAAAAAATAATTTCTTGGACAAAAAATATTCCTCTCCCTGATCAATTCACAAAAAATGGAATGACTTTGTAACCTAAATGAAACAGTTTATGCAAATTTCATGCAATTAACATTAATTTTAATTTGATATTAATAGACAAATTCCCCCTTTACAGTGATGAGGGAATTCATGATCAGAAACAGGAAGTTACGAAAAAAAAATATGGCAGTCGAATGGGAAACATTGATGCAAATACCATCAAGCACAAATTTACGTTTTATCATATACATTTTGCATAAAAGATAGAAAATATTATTACGAATAAGATAGTATTGTCTTGAAGAAATGTCAAAATGCTATTTAATTTGATTTCCTTCGCAATTTAAAGTAAGTCTTGAATGAAGAAATAATCTCTAGCTAGGTTTTGATTAATTGGCTATGTATCAATATACCGGGTATATTGAACATTATTTCACTTGAATTATTTAATAATTTATATTGTTAAAATAAAACAAAATGTTTTAATCGCACTAGTTACGATATTTTTTACAACACTCGTCCCTTGTTTTCAGTTGTCATTTTTGACACAGAATTATCACGAATTTGTCAAATGCCTCTTAGCATTAAAAAAAATATCAAATAACAAACGTTGAAAGCAACCAACAAGTTCTGAACACTTTCTCCCAATCGGTGTAACGTAGAATATTAATCCGGGTTGAAAATTGACGCGGGTTTCATTTTTCAACGCTCAATATTGTACCGGGGATGCTTTTTCTCCGTTGAAAATTGAGATTAAAAGTCGTGAAATTTATACCCGGAGTAATTTTTCGACAGCTTGGTAATGTAATTTTTTTCCCTAATCTCTGATGACATTAACTCCTTGAAAATTGACCCTGTTGAATATTGACTCTAACTACAGAGTTTGAACTGTCTTTGAAGGCATTTGAACTGGAAGCTGTTTTACTCTACGTGATTTTATTTATAAATATTTCAATTTCAAAATTTTCATTTTTCCAGATTAATTAAAATAGGTCTAAGATAGAATAAAAAATATTTAGTTATTTTAATTATGCAAGCGCGGGGAATTGAATTTATACAACTACCGACAGAAAAATTCCAATAATACATTTATTGTAGTTTCTACTAACAACATACAGGCTTATAGCAGGGAGAAATACTTTGTTCAAAATACCGCATTGAGAGGATGTGCGTCTCCACCCCCTTTTTTGTAAAAAACTTGAAAATAACAATTTCATTAATTGACGTTTATCGTGATACCTGTTATACTATGTTATGGATATTGTACTTAAGATGCTCTTATATCATTTCTGTCAAGGAAAAAAACAGCAAATATGCACATTTTACTGATAAATTGATTCTTTTTTTGTAAAAATTCACAGATACTTGGGTCTTGGTTTAGAAATACGTATGTACCTGATTGATATGTAAAAAAATGTACTTTACTTTTTTAAAAAAATATCAATAAGGTACATACATATTTATAAACTAAGACCCAAGTACCTGTGTAAAAATAAGTTCTTAATGCCCTATGAACAGGCCGAGTATTTGATACAAAAGACTGTATTCAGAAAAAAAACCTTGAAATGTATTGATTAAAGCACAAAATTTACAGTTTTAATTGTATTTGAACAATACCTTATTCATTAATTTTCTCTTTTCATGTAAGCAAGTTTATTACGAAGTACAAATTGTACTTCGGGTTCGTTGCCACGAATGCTCTCTGCGAGGAATATATACAAATTTTACCGTTAAATTTATGAGGAAAACCTAATACATATATGTAATAGTCTTTCGAAATATAAGTATATTCACAACTTATAGTGTTCTCAATGATTAACCATTATTTCAATGCCCATTCACACAAAAAACTTTTTTATGTAATGCAGCTATAATCGCCTCGTTTTTCTTTTTAACATCGGGCTCGATGCTACGTGATAGAAGCTTCCGCCAATGTTAAGATCGGTGAATGACGAAAACAATTTGCACATTTCCCTTTTTATTCGGTTATCACAACTTATTTCTTTTATATCATTTAAATCCAGTTTCGATTGAATAATTCAGTGATGATGTTTTATGAAATAAATAAATGATTGCTTGTTGTCAGTTTCATTAAAAATTGCCAGTAACTTAGATCCCCCACCCGGAACCGTCACCGTACTCACGTTTTTTGCTATTTCATGGCTGTTTATAGAAAATGAAAGTAGACTTTTAATTTAATGTACGATACTTATAATACTATGGGAGTGAAATCTAACTATAGTTTACGGACATCATCTTGTATCTAGTGTATTCTTAGAGGAATAAGTAAGAACTCTGGTGCACCCGTTTCGGAGTTTATTTGCAAAATTTATTAATTCATAAGTATAGATTTAAGTGACACAGCATCTTGTTCCAGGTGTGGATATCTAAGCGAAGATGTCTATCACTTTTTCTAAGGCTGCCCTACTTATAACAATCAGAGAGTGATAATTTTTGAGAATATTCAGAATATAACAGAGTTAGAAAACCTCTCATTTGATCAATTCTTTCATACCTTGCTGTTTGGTGATAGGCAATTACCTGATAAAACTGATTGTTTAATTTTAGAATCAGTCAATCTATATATCCACTCTTCCAAAAATTTTTGATATTATTCATTTTAATTCTTTTATTCATATATTTTATTGGTGTTTTCACATATAGATATATTAATTAACAGTAATTAACAGAGCAGAGCAAACACAAACCTCCAAACATCAGAGGTGAGATCAGGTGCCATGGAGGAGTGAGCATCCTCTGCCGACCGGTCACACCCGCCGTGTGCTCCTTGTCATGATCGGGAAATAACGAAAAAATCCGTCGACAATTTTGTGTGTAAATAATGGCCTAACAATTAGAATGAAAAACGTCAGTCAGCATTTGACTCAATGATAAATTGTATTTGTTGACAAGGTCATTGTATCGACCATAGAACTTACGAAATGATGACTTTAAACGAGACTGCTGATATTCTTGTTTCATCAACTTGTTTGTCAATAATTTACCTCTTTTTATAAAGTGTACATACGTAGAGCATGCTCTTGCGTATCGAATCGACTGAGAGATATAAACCCCGTATACAGGTGATGAAGGTATATTGCTGCATAAGTAAGGGAAGTTGACGATTGAAAAGTTTTTTTTAATTTCAGTTGAAAGCGGACTACATCAAATAAGGTAGGTTAATGTGTGTAATTTAGAATGTGAAAATCTGTTAAAGTGTTTCAGAAAGCATTCCATTTGTAGAGTTTGGATAAGACCTAGTACATGTATAGATATTGTAATATACATAATTCTGTAAAATATTTACTTTTGGTGACTGTTATAAGTGGCAGATTCATCATTGTATGTATTTGAAAGTTATAGTTTTTGTTACTCTGTAACAAACTGAATTCTTTATTTTATTGTTTACTAAATCCCCTTTGTTAGGGAGAGGGCTAAAATAGGCTATGCCTGCTGCCTAATCCCATTCACTTCATGTGAATAAAATTATGTATAAATAAATCCCCTTTGTTCACCCTTCCGGTTACTTATATAATAATCCTGGGGGAGTCCCTAAATACCTGTGGTTCTCTTGGTAACATAACAGCCCTGTGGGTAGCCCCTCGTTTTCACCTTGAATCCTCAGAAAAAACATCAGGGTCTTTTGCCTGTATTTTTTATCTTTATTGCCTGTAACGTCTCCCTACAGAACGTCAATAGCTGTCGGGGATATGAAGGCTCTCGGGTGCTGAATTTATTAGTGGCTATTGTATTAGTGAGTAGCCTTTACCATGTTATGGTGTTTGAAAGAGACCGTAGCGTGTGAGTGGACTATGGCAGTCCGTGCGACACATTTCTAAAACCAGTTTGTGATTTATATCACCTGACTGTGACCCACGTGCAACATTTTATTGTATGATTTAATGTCAACATATGAACAATTACATTGTGAAAGTTTGATAATAAATCGTATAAATATTTAGTTTTATTGAAAGACATTTTAAAAGTATTTGACCAGGCGTCGGACCATTGACTCCAGAACCTGAGAGGAAATACCCAGTTGCCAAGCAGCCCTTTTAAAATAAACATTGTCCGTGCAGTCTTTAACAAAAGAAACTGGACAAATCTATTCCAAAAGAATTTCCGCACTTACTGATGAGGACCAGGGCAAACTACACAAAGACATTCTTTCGATTTACTTTGTTTTGTACCTTTTTTTGGTCAATTTTCTTTGTTGAAATTTCTGATTATTTGTTCTTTAATTTGTTATTAAATATTGTTAAAATCTTCATATTTATGTAGATTCATTAGGGTGTATAACTCACATCCTCACATACTCTTTGGAGTAATGTACAATCTCGAGAAAAATGCTTTTAATTATTGCCAATTAGTAGAATGGAATATGAAAAAACGGTTACTAGTAATTAAACATGTTGCAATTGATAGTTATCAAAATACATTACTATATTTTTACTCTTTAATTATTAAGGCTTCAATTCTCAGATACGATTACGAGTCTTTTAGCACTTAGGAAGAAAGATAAAAGAAAATGATTTACACCAGAATACGTATGCCATTATTAAATTTGTTTTAATATGCAATCATACAAACTCCTGACAGACCAGATTTCCCCTGATAATTGATCAATTTCTATATTTAAAATCGTATCAAATTCAATATTGATTAAGAGTATAGGAAGAAAAGCAAAACAGTGATTTCATTCGACAATTATTTAATGAAGTAAATAAATAAATAAATAAATAAATAAATAACACAGGAGGAATTCAGTCACCATGGTTGAAAACGATGAGAATCACAGTCAATACATTGTTACTGAGTACTCGTAGATTTAGTAGGTCTGAAATGAATAAAATATATGTAAATAAAAATAATCTGCTATGAAAATATTCAGAACTAAGCTTAAGCGTCGTTGACGAGAAAAAGTCTTATTTACCTTTCTACCAGGAACGATGTTGTTGATAATTTCAGATGTTCTTCTGATAATCTGGCCATCACTGAATCCTTGGGATCCCACAGCAGCAGCTGAGGCAGCAGACGCACCGTTTGGAACAGCTGCCGCAACAGCCGCAGACGATGCTGAAGTTTGACCGACCACAGGATTTTGAGGATAATATACAGGTTGGACTGGATGATTTACTGGACCCCAGAATGTATTTGGAAATTCCGGTCGAATAACTCCGTCCAGTCTAATTCCAGATCTAATGTTGGCACTTGAAGCAGCAGCAGATGCAGCTGAGGTGGAACCGCTTACAGCAGCAGAAGAAGCAGATGCTCCAGTATTCTGACCAAAAACATGATTGGTAGGAAATTGAACACTTGGGATTGGTTGTAAAACTGGAACACCGACTTTACTTGTTAAACGGGGTCCCAAGATAGCTCCCATCCCGATTCCATATCCAAGTGTGGCACCTGAAGCTAGTCCTGTAGCAGCTGAGGAGGCTGCAGCACCCAGTGAAGTAGCTGAAGCAGTAGCCCCAGAGGTCTGACCAAATATCTGGTTTTCAGGATAATGTACGCTGTGGATTGGTTGCACCAGTGGACCAGATGGATAATTGATTCCGGATACCTGATGACCAATAGGTCCATTGTAAGGTACAGTAGCTTGAAACCCAGCATTTCCTAGGGATGCAGTTCTCTCAGCCTCAGAGGTCACTTCTGTAACAGATGCAGCAGCAGGGTTTACTCCATTCAATCCAAATCCATTGTTCAGGCCAATAACGCCTGGGTGTCCAGCAAACCCTCTATTATCGGAAACAGCTGAAGCGGAAGCAGACGCATCCAATACACTTGCAACAGAGGAAGCAGAAACGGCAGCGTTCCTTCTATCAAACCCCACAAAACGAGCTTCAAAACCACTGTTATCGACACCTCTGATCACTTTTTCATGTTGAAGGTGAGTTCTCTGAGAACATCCGTACTGCTCACATCCTGATTTTGGATAGTAATCTTTTGGAACAGGGATTGCAATTGTACTAGCAATAACACAGAAAACTACAACAGCACGGATCATCTGTGGAATAAAATAATAGAATTGTTTTCGACGATTTTGATATTATAAACGATCTCATGTAGTTTATTCAAAGAAGAAAGAAAATACTACGATGCATTGGACATGATTCCATATTAAAGACGGATGATTCAAATAAACTTTTATCACAAATCATGGAAAAAAACAACTAGAATCTTGTTTATAAAAGTATAATGAATGAGATAAACGACATCAGATTTTTCTTTTTTATTCAAAGTTTCACATAAATGTGTTTTCAAGTTACAAACAGTTGTTTACGTTAATAAGGATGATCTAAGGAAGGTAAAATTTTGAACATCAAAGAAAGTTTGTGATTTCTTATTATTTTAGAAATTTAATATTCGCATCATTTAAAACCAAAATACGACAAAAACCACCAATCCAGGCATCGATTTTTTTTCAACAAGGTTGAAATTGATAAAAGAGACCCCTAGACACCAAGAGGTCATCAAAAACAGAGTATATTGGGATTAACATATATTTAAAAAATTTATTTTAACGGAAATAAAACGATTAAATTTTTTTCAGTATTATATTTATTAAAAAATGTTGAATAGTTAAATCTTACCTTGGGATAGACGAATCTTTACAGGATATGTGTTGATCATTGACTGAAGTGTGCCTTATTTATACTGTTAGGTCGATGCATGATAGAGGAAGGAATGTAAATCCATGTGGTTTGATCTTTTGTGATTACTCAGTAAAATTTAATTTTGAAATCACTGCAGTGATTTAATTGGATAATTAGATAATCTTGATGAATATTTAGGGAAGACGTCATTGTAACTTCTTGTATTGAAATACACACAAAAAAAAATTGATTTATTTTGGAAAAGTTAGGAATATTTGCGTTTGTATTTTTTCCTATTTTTTTTGAATTCATGAACATTTGTTTACATGAAAATCCTAAGAAAGGGCTAAGTTCACTTTACACATAAAATGGACCTATCCTTTAACCAAATAATTGATTTTCTGTCCCATTAAATATGGAGATAACGAACTGTAATCAAACTAAAAACCCTTAAAAACAATACAAATCGGGAGCAGAAAAAAACACTCTTAAACACCAAAGGTGGGAATGGAGGAGTAAGCATCCCATTTCAAACATCAATTTAAAGGAAAAAAATTGGTGCTTTCATTTCCTGAAACAAAGTTTTTCTTGAGAGGCCAAGTATTGGAATACAGGTTTTGTGAAATTGTAATGTTGTTGAATTTTGCAGAAATCAGATGTATTTGAATACCCTCAGCATGGATTTAAAATATGAGCACACCCCTCGATCTAAAAAAATATTTCACGATCTTTAGAAACATTTCTATCATTATATAGTTTCAAATTGTAAATAAGACATATTCTATAAGGAATATTGAAATATGGCTTGAACTTTTGACTACTTTTGAAGGAATGTGAGGATAAGGATTGTGCGTTGACCACCCACTTGCAGATGAAAGTCTTTACGGGGGCAATAACATCTTATGTTTTGTCTTTGAGGGCGAAGACAATTTAAGGAGGGAGGAATGTAATGGTTTGGCAGTGAAAGCACCTGACTAGTGATGTATTGGTCTCGGATTCGATTCTAGATCCATCAATTCTTGTTTCCCTTCCTGATCCATAATTGTTCATAATTTATATTATGCAAATTGTAATTCAAATCAAAACTCAATATTGATGTTAATATTTAAAATTACTTATGGCGACTTAATAAATTTAATGATGAGAACATTATTTTCAAATTTAGACAGTTTAACAGAATTTGGCAAACACATCGTTTCATTCTCGAATAAAAAGTGATCAATAATATTAAATTTTTCTTGGTAGTATGGATAAAATGTGATCAAAAGTGTTATAATTTTGTACTGGATAGAATGGATAAATGTGATTAATAATGTTAGAATTTTGTATTGAGTAGATTGATAAAAAGTGATAAACAGTATTAAAAATTTTGTACTGGATAGAATGGATAAGAATTGATTAGCAGGATTAGAATTTTGAACTGGGTACAATGGATAAAAAGTCAGTAACAACTTTACAATTATTTTTACTGGGTAAAAAAAAAACTGGGTAATAGATAAATGTGATTAGCAGAGTTACAATTTTGAGTAGAAAAGTCCCAGGTTCTCATGGCAGACTAGTTATCAGTGTTTTATATTATCATTTATAATTCCAGGCCCGTAGGAAGCAATTTCACTTTGAGGGGGAACAACCATACATTTTCAGTTGAGGGGGGCTCTATCAAGTACCAAAACTCCTTGACAAAAAAAAAAAGGTCATCAGACGTTATAATTGAGAGGGCACAAGAATATAGTAGCTATGTTTTCTATAGTATTCTATATATCGGCAAAATTATTGCCCCCCCCCCCCGTGCCCCCTGGTTCATACGGCCATGAATTCCTAAGCTTGAGGCTCAGCATTGATATAAAGTTGGGTGACATAGAAAAAAAGTTAAGAAATTAGTATTTTTACACGATAAAGAAACACTGATGTTCATGTGATGTATTATCATACATACAGACATTCGTGTCGCCCGCGTGGTACAGTGGTTAGAGCGTTTGCTCTAGAACCGCGATGTAAGGAGTCAATCCTTACGTCGCGGGTTCGAATTCACTGCGGAACGTGGAGACCTGTCCTTCGGATGAGACTATAAACCGAGGTCCCGTGTCGCAGAAGGTGCTGGCACGAAAAAGATCCCTCACTGCTCAATGGCCCTGAGTGCCGAGTAAAGGTGAAAATTTGCAGCCCTCCACCGGCAAGTGGTGGCGTCACCATATGAGTGAAAAATTCTCGAGAGGGAAGTTAAACAACAAACAATGAACAAAAACAGACATTCTTTATTTCATCTTCAGCAGAGATTAAACAATCCATGTATGAAAATAATTATTGTGCATATGAGGACAGAACCTGAAAATATATAGGCTTGCGTTGATTGTTTGAATTATATTTACAATATCAGAATTTTTTTGGCCTATAGTACATGAATTGAAATGACCCAGGGTTCAGAAAGTATCATAAAGAAAAGGAATGAAAAAAACCCCCAACTGATTTGATATTTTATTGTAAATCTAATTTGAAGCAATATTTAGAACTTACGTCACATGCCTGCCGCTTCTCTAGTCATGTTCACTCTCTGACGAAACAATTCATTCATTATTGGGGATAATTAGCCCTTTTAGTCAGGTGTTATCAGAGGGTCGAGAAAACCTTCCTTGTCACTTTAGTAACGTAGTCATCAATTTAATTCCAGAAATTTATTCAACGCTAGACATGCAACACGTTCACAAGTAGGAATTCTTATTACTGTCAATGAAAATAAATATAGAGAAAATTCATGCAGATCTACAAACATAGACAACACAAATTTTTCCCTCAACATAAACAATGATTATGAATTACTTCTGCAATTTCTAATGAAGATAGTTATCTATAACCATTGCTTCTACTGCTGATTGGATGAATATTTTACTTACATTTTAAATGAGGCTTAATGAAGAGAACAAAACTGTGACAGTGACAACGTCAGTTCAATTTCACAATAAAACTGATTCGTTTTACTATGTCTCATTCAATAAAATTTAATAATGATATAAAATAAATGAAAATTACTAAATAATTGGCTAGAATGTTATTTTTTTATTTTTTAAAAATTCACTTATAAAACATCAATTAAATCAGAACAATTAAGACTTTTAATAGGAAAATAATATTCTTCTCCCAGATGTACGTAGACAATGATCTCGCAAAAAATTAAATGACTTTGTAACCTTAATGATACAGCTCATGCAAATATAATCCATTAGCAGTATTTGCTATTTTAATATAGGCTATTTGGATACGAAATCCCCCCTCTGCAGTGAGAGGTAATTAAAAAATCAGACAGACAGGAAGTGAAAAAAATGTGACAGTCTATTGAAAAACAATGATGCAAATGGGATAGAGAACACATATGTATTTATCATAAAGAATACGCATAAAAGTAAGCAATATTCGCTAATATGATAGTATTCTCTTACGAATGAATAAATAAATAAATTGAAATACAATTATTATTTCATTTGCAATCATATTAACCCTTACTTAATTAACAGAAAAATGACACCATCTTATTTGTCAAACAAACATATACATGTATGTCACAAAAATTATATCTAACATAAAAATACATGCATATTTTATTGACCATATCTATGATATTAAAACATTAACTCTCAATATTTCATCAGTATAATTTTCTTTGTGAAATCATTTAGTAATCTTCAACAATGAATTTCCTATTTCACACACGAAACCTTGTCACGGCGGTGGATAAACAATAGAAGCTAAATACTAGTTAACCCTCTTGCTCAATTTAATTAAAAATAAATTTATTAAATTGTTTTGATATTCAATTATTGTATATTTAGAATAAATTTGTCAAATTTTATCCTTCGCAATATTAATTTGCCTTATTGAACTTCTTTACAACGGCTCTTACATCTTTTAACCACACCAGATATAAATACATAATAAAAATGAATGAAATTAACATTTATGAAGAGAGAAAATTAGAGAATGTAAATACGAGCATTGAATTCTTATTTTTGGATATCGTCTGTCGTATTACAGCACCTGTCCTAAAATATGAAAAATAAAAATTAATTTAATGGCTAACATTTTATGAAATGCCCTTTGCAAATGCCGAAAATTTATATGTTTATGTCTGTCTGAAATCATTTAACTTAAGGGTGTCAAAAGAAGCATGTCAATATCCGATTATTCGGTCGACTTTTGAAGTAATATTAGAATTTACTTATACACACATTCTGTGAAAACTTCCAAGAACTATTGACTGTTTTTGAAACAAAGTTTAGCCTGTATGCATATATTTTTATTCCAAATCTATGTATTTAAAAAATCGAGACAGATTTATATAGTTTGTTTGCTAAAAATAAAATAAAATGTTGATACCAAAAGAAAGGTCTAGAAATACATATGGAGCAAAAGATGGATAAAACTCCAA